CGCCGCGCACACACACACTGGCTGAGGCTCTCTATACCCATGGCATTCATGGCAAGTGGGGAAGCAGGGAGCCAAGGTGGGTGGGCCACCCTGGGATACCCATCCAACAGGCCCAGCCTTCACCCCTCTGCACTGTGGTGACCGCAGGGGAGGGTAGGAGAGAACCCAGGTGGCGGGCCTAGTCCCTTAGCTCTAGGGAGGGTTCTATGGGCCCAAGTTTGGAAAGCGCCGAAGATGATGCCACCTTCTGGCATTGATAGAGCACCTACCTGAAGACCCTGAGAAATCCTGGGGGCAGCACTCCACTCCACCTTCAGGGTGCAGGTTCCAGCATCACCTGGCAGCTGCTGGAATCTGTGGATCACCTTCACCTGTCCCACCTGTGTGGGCCTTTTCTGACCCCTTTGCTGTCCTACTTATGGGCACTCAACCCCCAAGAGTAATTGGGGTGAGATTCCACATGCCACCTGTTTAACCCAGGGTGTGCAGTGGGAAGTTGAGGCTTCCTGGGAGGGCACAGGGTTGGGGGGTGCTGCCCGCTCAGGCTCATCTCCTTTCTCCTGTGCTTCCTCCGGCCGCCCAGAGGACTGGTTCCATCAAGGTGAGTCCCTGTTTGTCCTGCCATCCAGGCCTGGCGGGTGCAGTGGGCACCATGGAGGCACAGCCCCCTCCCCTTACTGCTCAGGCAGTGGTCTTCTAAACGGCAGGGCTTTCCAGCCTCAAGGTCCTGCCCCACCCCCAGTCCCTCCTCTGGGCAGCCATCTCCATGACAACGGCAGGAATGTCAGCCCTGCACTAATTTGGAGGCTAAGGGGCTGTCCCTCTGTAACCTCAGACTTTGCTCCCCAGGCAGGGCTGGGCCTGGAGCTAGGACTGGGGCAGAGCTGATGTCCTCAAGGCCTAGGGGTGTCTCTCCAGTGGAATGGGGCATGTGTGGCTCACACAGGGAGCACATAAAGGCCCCAGAAGGCCAGGGATGGTGGGGGTCCCAGGTCATCTAAACCAGCGGTCGCCAACCGGTGGTCTGCAGACCACTGGTGGTCCCTGAGGTCCGAAAGGTTGGTGACCGCTGGTTTAAGGAAACCTTTGGAGCAGTCGTCGCCGACCGGTGGTCCCTGAGGTCCGAAAGGTTGGTGACCGCTGGTTTAAGGAAACCTTTGGAGCAGTGGTCGCCGACCGGTGGTCCCTGAGGTCCGAAAGGTTGGTGACTGCTTAAACTCAGCTCTGCTGCTTTCCAAAGGAGAAACTCCTTCATCTGAGGTGGGGATGATGGCCAGGAGGTGGCGATGCACCCAGAGGTGTACAGGTCGAGGCTGACAGGTGTTAGGTGGAGCTGCTGCAGGGGCTTGGCCTGTGAGCAGGGTTTTCCTGGCCAACAGAGCCTGGGACCGGGTCTAGGCCCCAGACGGGCAAGTTTCCCCCTGGGTAGGACTCATTGGCCCCAGCCCTGCCTTGTTGTGTAGCCAGGCATGTCCGGTCCCTGCCAGGCCTCGACTTCCCTGTGTGCACCTACCCACCACCCAGCCACTGAATCCCTCAGTTCACACACCTGGCAGCCACAAGGAGGCCACTGGGCAGGTCTGCAGTGCAGCTCCCAGCACCTGGTGGGAGCTGAGTCCTGGCTGGGACATCCCTAGGCCCTGCTGCTAACACTGCCCCCTGGCCTCTTGGTGCCTCGTCCTGGAAATGGGGGTGCTTTCTGGGCTCTAGGCAGAAAAGTGCTGTGCACAGTCCTCGTGACACACACCTTCCCCCCACGGGGTCCACCTCACCTCCCACTGTTCTTCTGTTCCAGGGAGGAAGGATGGTGAGATGGACCGAAACTTTGACACGTTGGATCTGCCCAAGAGAACGGAGGCCGCCAAAGGTGAGTGGGTGGGAGTAGAGTCCACGCTCGGGACTGTCCAGTAGTAAAGCTTTGTGCCACTAAGGAGGCCTGAAGGGCCTTGCGGATCCAATATGGACACAGGCCCACAGGTGTGGCGTTCCCCGGAGGACCACCTAGTCCAGTGATGGCGAACCTATGACACTCATTTTTTTGGTTGATTTTTCTTTGTTAATTTAAATATATAAAATAAATTATCAAAAATATAAGTCTTTGTTTTACTATGGTTGCAAATATCAAAAAGTTTCTATATGTGACACGGCACCAGAGGTAAGTTAGGGTTTTTCAATATGCTGACACGCCGAGCTCAAAAGGTTCACCATCACTGGCCTAGTCGCTGGGCACCAGCAGAGGGTTAGAATCAGAGTCAGTGCCACAGGTCACCAGGATGGGGGGGATAGAGAGGCCAGGCTCTTGCTGGGTCTCAGCTTTGGAGCAAGGCCCTCAGTGAAGGGCAGGGGCTGGCTGGCAGGGCCTCTAGTGTTGGGTTCTCTCCGAGTGTTTTGGGTACCAGGACGGTACAGTCAGATTCAGTACGGAGGCTGCGCCAGACCAGCCTGATTCATGCAGGGGCAGAGTGGTTTGTGTTTCTTTCTAGTCCCGCATCTGTTGGAACCCTGCTGGGTGCTGGCTTTGTTCTGTGTAATGGGAATCCAGCCTGAGAGAGAGAGATTCCAGGCCACAGCCCACAGCCCACCCTGCGAGCCCAGATGCTCCCAAGCAGAATGAAAGGGACCAGCCACAGGAGATCTGCGGGGGGGGACACCACAGGCTGAGGAATCAGCCTGGGCCAATACTTCAGGGGGCCATGTGTTTGGGGAATTGGAAGCCCAGCTAGGCTGGGGTGGAGGGAGCATAGGACATGAGGACTAGGGAGGGGGTCAGGGGACAGGGGACAGGGAGGTAATGTCCAGGAACAGGCAGAAGCCCCGGTGTGGGTACAGTGGCCTTGGAAACTGCTCAGCCCCTCATCTCTGAGACACTGTGGCGGGCGCTGCTGCCAGGCCTGGACCTCTTGGAGGGATGGGCCCTGTTGCTCAGGGCATGACCCTGGTAATATAGCCTCGGTTATATACGGGAGCTGGGCCCTGTTGCTAGGGGAGGTGGGTCTTGTCTCTAGGCCTCACCCTCCAGTTGCACAGCCCCTGTTAGCTACTGGGAGGATGGGTTTTGTTGCTAGGGAGTTTGAGTCCTGTTGCTAGGGAAGAGGCCCTGGTTGCCACCCTCTCTCCACTGGTAGGCCTCCCTGAGCCTCTCGATTCCTCTGTGAAGTGGGACTGCTTTTTCACTTTTTATCGTGGTGCACGTAACATTGCACCACACCCATCCCTGGGTCCCAGCTCAGCCTTGCCCTGGGAGGAGGAGGAGGGAGAGGCGGTGATGTGGGGCGGTCTGGGCGACCGTAGGCAGCTGGTGCTCTGTGCCCAGGCTTTGAGTTGCTGTACCAGCCCGAGGTGGTGCGTCTCTACCTCTCACTCCTCACGGAGAGCCGGAACTTCAACACCCTGGAGGCTGCGGCTGGTGCCCTACAGAACCTCAGTGCTGGCAACTGGATGGTGAGAGGCCATGTCTGGCAGGGAGGGGCCAGAGAGGGAATCCCCGTGTCTCTGTTGGTGCCTACTCCTGCCTTTGGCCAGGCAGGGGGAGGGGAGGAGCCTCCCTAAGGTCAGGGGTTCTGGGCGCTAGGGCTGCAAGCAGTGTGCCCTGGGTGGTGGGTGTGGAGGCGTCTGGTGGAGGGAGAGTTGTGCCCTGGGTGGTGGGTGTGGAGGTGTCTGGTGGAGGAAGAATTGAGCTGCTGGTGTAAGGCTTTGTCAGGAGCACAGTCCAGCTGAAGGAGTGGTCAGGGCTCAGGTGGGAGAGTCCATCCTGTGTGGGGTGCTACTCCGTGTGCTGAGCGTGCTCCGCCTCCTCTGCTGCCACAGTGGGCCACCTACATTCGCGCCACCGTGCGCAAGGAGCGCGGTCTGCCAGTGCTGGTGGAGCTGCTGCAGTCCGAGACCGACAAGGTGGTGCGCGCTGTCGCCATTGCCTTGCGGAACCTTTCGCTGGACCGACGCAACAAGGACCTCATCGGTGAGGACACAGGTGGGGCTGAACCTGGATGGGAACCGGATGGACGGCCCTCGGGGTCCTAACGTAGGGGCCTGGCCTGGGCCCCATCACTCTGTCCCAGGCGCTGGAGCACCAGTCTTCTTCAAGCTGTCTGAGCCTAGCCCCCTGTGCACTGGGAACTGTGGGCTCCTCTCTCCTGAACCCCGCTTCTCCCCACAGGGGTGGGCAGAGGCGTGTCCTAACACCCGACCCTGCCCCTCAGGGAGCTATGCCATGGCCGAGCTGGTGCGGAACGTGCGCAATGCGCAGGCTCCAGCGCGACCTGGGGCCCGCCTGGAGGAAGACACTGTGGTGGCCGTGCTCAACACCATCCACGAGATCGTGTCCGACAGCCTGGACAATGCACGCTCGCTGCTGCAGGCCCGTGGCGTGCCAGCGCTGGTGGCCCTTGGCGCCTCCAGGTACTCGGGTGGGGACGGGGGAGGGCGGTCCGGGGGTGGGACCGGACATTGACCCCGTCCTGGGCCCGGCCACAGCCAATCGGTGCGAGAGGCGAAGGCTGCGTCCCACGTGCTGCAGACTGTGTGGAGCTACAAGGAGCTGCGTGGCGCCCTGCAGAGGGATGGCTGGACCAAGGCACGCTTCCAGGTGCAGCCTGCACAGCCTTTCCTTTCTCACTTTGCCAGGCTGGGTCCCCGGCTGGAGTGCCCCTGACCCCCACCCCTGTCTGTTTCGCTCTCTCCCCTCCAGTCAGCTGCTGCTAATGCCAAGGGGCCCAAGGGAGCACTGAGTCCCGGAGGGTTTGATGACAGCACACTGCCACTGGTGGACAAGAGCCTGGGTGAGGACGGGCGGGTTGGGGTGTGGGAACCCATCCCTGAGGTGGCGTAGCCTCTCCACCCGGTACATCGATAGTGACAAGGCTGGTGAGGCGTGGAGGAGGGAGGTGGGCCATCTTACAGGAAAATGGCCTCAGGGTGGCCCCTTTCCCCGTTTGCAGCCTTTCACATCCTCTCCACCATGGTACTCACACTGGTGCCAAGTTGTGGGAAGAGGTTGGCAATGGGCAGTGACCCAGCAAAAGGGTGCAAAGATGTTAGTGATGAAGGGTACCCAGGGTCTCTGAGACCAGCCCTGCCATGGGTGTATCTGCCCTGGCCCCCCCACTGCTGCTTGCAAACAGCCAGCCCCTTGCTTGTGCCTTTTAGATGGTGAGAAGCCAGGCAGCCGGGATGTGATCCCCATGGAGGCCCTTGGCCCAGGTGAGTGCAGGGGCAGTGCTGCGTGCTTCCTGTGTGGGGAGGAGGGGGTGTGGGCCAGGTGGTTATGCTGTGTGTGTGTGTGTGTGTGTGTGTGTGTGTATGCATGCGCGTGGGGGGGGGCAGGGGGGGAGTCCTGAGCTTCCAAGGGGAAGCAATGAGCCGCTGCAAGGCCTGAGCGGTTGAGGCAGGGGATGGTGAGAGCCGGGAGGAGGAGCTATGGGAAGACCTGTCCGAGGCCTCCAGGACGGTGCTGGAGCAGGGAAGCTGGTGCCCTCTCCAGATGCACCCCGTCCCAGCCAGAGGGAGATCTGCTCCATGGGGCCTGCCCCTCAGGATCCCCCTTGTGCCCCCACAGATGGATACTCCACGATGGACCAGAGAGAGTGGAGGGCTCGAGGCAGTGCCCCCGCAGGGGAGACCTCTGAGAAGGAACCGTTGAAAGTGAGTGGCTGTGGCAGGGGCCCAGGGAGGCAGCATGAGTAGTGGTTGCCTGGAGAGGGGCTCAGGCGAGATGGGGGCTGGCATCCACCTGGGGTGGGGCTCACCTGTAGGGCAGCTGGGCTGGGAGATTGGGCCCAGGGAGTGGCTCCTCCACCTTGGGAACCTCACATCAGAGTCAGTCTGTGGGTGCAGCTGGTTCGAAGCTCACACTCAGAGAGGGTGGGGGCACACGACAGGGGGCACGGCCTGGCACAGTGCGCAGGACCCCAGGAGTCTGAGCAAATGTGTCTACCCCCTACTCTGCATGTGTGTGTGTGGGCAAGGGCCCATCGTGTTCCCACTTCCAGGGCAGCACCTGCCCCCTGCTCTTTGCCAATCCCCTGGCTTTGGGCACAGGCCTCGTGCATCCACTCGTCACTCTGCACCTGTGTGAGCCACATTAGCCTGGTTCCCCGCCCCCTCAGCCCTCCCCTCCTGTGCACCAGCATGGGCCCTGCCCCTCGGACCAGACCAGTGCCCAGAGTCAGCTCTGACTAACCTACTGTGTTCTGCCTCTAACACCCTCCTACCCTCGCCCATCTGCTGCAGCCTGACCCCAGCAGGAAGGCTCCTCCTCCGGGGCCCAGCAGGCCCGCGGTCAGGCTGGTGGACGCTGTGGGGGACGCTAAGCCTCAGCCCGTTGACTCCTGGGTCTAGCTTGCATGCCTGGTACGTTCTCTCCTCTGGTTGTTTGTCCAACCGTTTCCCGTTCTCTGAGCGGGGGCTTTTTTCATCTCTGCTGGCCGCATGCTCTGTCCTCCCTGCGCGCTCCCTGGTGGGACCCCTCCCCGCTCCACCACCTCGAGCCCAGCCGCCTGAATGCCCATCTTAGGGAAGGACAAGCCAAGTCAGGGCCCTGAGGAGATGGGACCAGAGCAGGGATGGCCCCCCTACACCTTGAAACACCCCAAGTGCATGGCCTCTGAAGAACAGCATGTTGGGATTGGCCCTGGTGGTGAGACCCTCAGGGTCGTCCCACAGCAGCTGCCTTTGTATACACCTCCATCTGCCTAGTCTGAGGAGGCAGCCCTCCCCTGCCACCCTGCCACCCTGCCACCCTGCTCAGCCTTTCCCTCTCCCTCCTCAGGGCCTGGGCCCAGCTTTTCATTCTTAGGAATCTGATCATGGGAAGAAGGGAACTCCAGGGCCAGCCTGCACAGACCCAGCCTCGGAGCTTGGAGCCCCCTGGCGGCAGGGGTCGGCAGTGCCTCTGCGCGGGAGCCAAGGCTGGACTTTCTGGACACGCCTCCCTTCCCACTCCCTCGCTCCCTCCCTCCTAACTCCCTAGGCAGAGTTAGCTGTTTACTGACATGGTGCTGTGTGCATGGTGCTGTGTGCAAGTGCGAGAGAAGGCTGGGGGGGCTGCAGGGCAGGGTCCAGGGAGGCAGCAGGAGAGGGGGCCTGGCTTTGCTTTGGGGTCGGAAGAATAGGAGGAGAGTGTAGTTGCCCCAGAAGAACTGGGCAGCTGGCCCTGGGAACAGGCAGCTGGGCAGGGAGGGGGGCTCAGGAGTTTGACTCTGAAGGGTGGAGGGGATCCCCTGGGTCTCCACTCCTGCTCCCCTCCCCCCCACAGGCCAGCCACTGGGCTGCTCTAGGGGGGCTGACCTCGCAGAGTGGATTGGAGACAGCGAGATGGGGGTCAGGCTGTTCTAGCCCCCACCCTGCCCTTGGATGCGTGGAACCCCAGTGCAGTGGGAGCCTCCCTAGGTACATTGGCCCGGGCGCAGCCTCTGCGCCCTGTCTGCCAGAGCCCGGGGACTGACCCCGCCCGGACTGACCCTCCGCAGCAGTGGGGGACTGCTGTTCAGTGCCTGCTGTTTGTGACTTCAAAACAGAAGAAAAACACTGACAAAAAGCATTAAAAACAAAACCAAAATAAGACTGTATTGGTAAACACGTAAATTTTTGTAAGAAAATTTAAAAATTAAAAAAAGCGACCAAGGAACTTCTTTCATGGCTCAGATCTCTCGCCACAAGCTGATTGCTCCTGTTTGCGAGGTGGGGAGTTTGTGGGGCGGGGGTGGCCCCAGGGGTCCAGAGGGATCTCAGCTCTCAGGCCCCTGGGTGGTTCCCACACACATTCTCCCAGACTCGCTGCGATCCCCTTGCTACATACAGAGAGGGGTGGGCTTGCTCCTGGGTGGTTGGCTGGGCCCTGAGCCCCAGCGTGGTGTCCTGGGCAGAGGGGCTCATCCAGGACAGGGTGCTCCCCTGAGTTGACCAGAGGTCCAAGCCGTCTGGGGGTTGGGATTGGAGGGACAGGGCCGGGGCTGGAGGCAGCTGTGGGTTTCGTGGCTACAGATCAACTCTACCTCATTACTCACCAGCTGTGCAGCCTGGTCTGAGCCTGTTGTCTCTTCCATACACAAGGCTGAGTGGGCCTGGGGAGGTGCCTCCACTTAGTGCCACCGGGGGCCCCGAGGGACCAGGTGCTGGAGGCCATGCCTGGCTCTGCTGCAGGGCTGAGGCCTCCATTCCCCAACACCTGCTTGGCCAGAGATGAAGGGTGGCCAGCTGCCCTGTTCTGGTTTCCCAGGTGACACAGCCTCCAGCTGGGGGCTGAGCCCAGCCTGCAGCTATCCAGGTGGGGCTGTGACAGGCTCCTGGCCTGGCCACTGGAGGAGCAGTGCTGGGAGCCCCTGGGCGCATGGGCAACATTGGCATCCAGTCAAGGGGAGCGCTGTGTGTTTGGTGCCAACACGGAGGGCGCCAGGGGAAGGAAAGAGCAGCGCGGTGGTTGAAAAAAACACAAAGTTGACCTCTTATATCGAAATATTTAGATCTTTAATTACCATTTTAGTATCTTTTAGTCATGATATCAATATATAAAATTGTTAAAAGTCAGCCCGTTTTAGTGAAGTTGCATTTCCTTCTTAAAAAGGAGAAGAAAAAGGAATCAGGTACGATGTGTTGTTGGTCACAGTGCCAGCACTGAGGCACTGCTGCCACCTGGTGACTGCCAAGCTCCAGGACAGACTGTGAGTGCACAGCCCAAGTTTCCAGATGTTCCCAACTTTCCCCTTTGCTGGGTCAGGGCCTGTCCGTGTAAGAAACCCTACTGGCATGCTGGTGGGGTGAGTGAGCCATGGGCACCACCTAACCCTGACTTGGTATTCGCAGATAACTTTCCAGACTGATGGCAGGGATTGTGCATGGTGAGCGGGCTGCTCTGGGTGGGTTGGTGTTTGACAGCCTGGAGCCATGTGCAGAGCCTCCAGTGTGTGGCACTGAGGACAGACCCCAGAACTGCAGAAGCAGGGTTGGCGGCAGCAATGCCCATCGTGACCTTCCTAACCAGGCTTGGCGAGTGCCCCAGAGCAGGGGAGGAGGTCAAGGCCGTGCGGAGCTGTCCGGGCCCATGTAGACGGCCTTCTCCAGGCCATCCACGGCCTGGGAGTACTCCAGGAAGGAGGAGAAGTGTGTGCAGTCAAAGCGGCTGCTCCCACGCACGTGCGCCAGAAACTCCGGCGTTCCTGGGCAGATGACGTTGTCGGCCAGCAACACCGTCCCCTTGCGTAACAGGCCGCACTCCTGCAGGGGGCAAGACAGTTGGAGGGGGTGAAGGTCAGGGGTGCCCATCAAGTTTGCTCCAAACCAGCAGGACAGGTGCCCCTGACCAGGTGGAGGCTCCATATGCTGGCCTGACCCCTGGGTGAGCCCCCTCACCTCCTGGGGTCACAGAGTCCCTCTGCAGCCCTCCTCCCCAGCATGTCCCCTGCACGAAAGGGCTGTGCTGAGTGCAGGTCCCACCTCTAGCACATCAGCTCTGAAGATCTTTTCCTCCGTTCACGCCTGCATCCTTGGCCCCTAGAACTGTGTGCAGTACACAACAGGAGCTCGCTAAATGCTAGCAAGATGACTGGAGGTGATGATGGGGCGGGGATTCAGGTCACAGTGCTAAAGCCAGTGGGTCCCTCATCACCCAGTGCCAAGAACATGCAGCTTCTCCAGGTGGGAAAAATGCCTGGTGCCCCTGTGTGTGGCTCTTGGGGTGGTCCCTGGAGGTGCAAGCTGGCCTGACCAGGATGACCCTGCAGTGCTAGGGGGGCAGGGGAGAGGCACATCTCCCCACCCACAAGCCTGCCCCTCAGGGATTCGCTTTGGACATCCCCAAGCCCCAGCATTCGACATGCCCCATTCCATCAGCCACCGGGCCCTGGGCAGCCAGCTGGCTCTGCAGAAGGAAGGAGGGGCAGCTGGACACAGCCTAGGTCCTCCAGCGCTCACAGCTCTCTGAGCTGAGGGAGGGGCTGCTTCGATTACAGGAAACAATAGAATGGGAAGCCTAAAGGGGGAATGTTTACCTTGGGGGACAGGTGGATTAGGGTAAGGGTTGCCTTGTCTCCTGGATTTGACTTTGGAAGCACAGAACTTTCTTACATAATCATAACAGTTAAAAAAAAAAAAAAGCAATCCAAACACGGAAAACAAGTGACCCCAGGTGTGTCTGAAACTGCCCACAGGACCACACACGTGGGGCATCTCCAAGTGACTGAAAATCGGACTAACTCTGCAACCCTCCAGGGCTGTGCCCTAGGGCGGAGTCTGACTGGGGTCCCAGCCCTCCTGGTGGTGGCTGCGGTTACCTCCAGCCTGTGGGCTGTGGGGGAAGCCGAGGGCCCTCCAGCCAGAGCTCCGGAAAACACGCAAGTGTGAGGTCACGAGGCTGGGGCAACCCACGAGACAGAATTTGAACAGAATGTATCATTATGAATCATAGAGTGTTTTCTCTTAAAAAAGAGAAGCAACAGAACTTTTAGCAACATTGCCTAAAAAGACCGAAAAAAGAGCACCCGGGAGGAGGCGCCCCTGGCCCAGGCCCCAGAAGGGCAGGAAGGGCACAAAGTGAGCTGGGAGCAGGGGCTCCAGCCTCGAAGGGTCCCGCTGAAGGATTCAGGGCACCACTGGCACTGAAACCACCCCGTTAACCAGGAGAGAAGGGGCGGAAGGGAGGAAACTTGGCCACCTGTGGAGGTTGCTGGGGCCCAGCCATCCCCGAGGAAGCTGGTCATGAGGGGGAAGACACGGTGCCTGCACTGCCTCCTCCCAGACGCCAGCCTCCGACAGGACACAGACCCCTGGAGACTTCTGGCCAGAAGCTCAGAGGCTGAGCAAGCCGGTTGTGCCAGCTGCCTGGGAGGAAATGGTGTGTGAGCACAGGGTGCCAGGTGTGAGGTGATTTAAACTGTGTCCACAGTTCACAGACCTTCAAGGGGTGGGTGTGGGCTGGGCTCGGTGACTGGCTTCTAACAAAGAGAAGGCAGAAGCCACAGGGCGTGGCTTCGCGGACGAGGTCACACTCGGCACCCAGCCCCTCCTGTCTGTCTGTCTGTCTCTTGCTCTCCCACCTCTGGCTTTGGGGGAAGCCAGCTGCCACGTTGTGAGGACACCTCAAGTGGCCCCATGGAGACACCCAGGTGCCAAGTGGCTGAGGCCTCTTCAAAGTGGCCTCCAACTTTGAACAGGCACCGCTCCCCCCCCGGCCCCTTATTCCCAGCGGAGGGGACGGGCAGCTGGCCCTGCCCCGCACCAGCCAGGGGCCTGCAGAGCCACAGGTGTGGGGTGGCAGACACGCTGGAAAAGTACAGCTGGTCCCATTCCTGGCTTCTCTTTTGAGCAGTGGTTGTCAACCTTGGCTGCACATTAGACTCACCTGGGAATCTTTTTAAAATCCTGATTTCTGGGCCTCATCCTCCGGAAATTCTGTTTCTTTGTTATGGGGTGGGGCCACAACATTAGTAACAAAGAAACAGAATTTCCGGAGGATGAGGCCCAGAAATCAGGATTTTAAAAAGATTCCCAGGTGATTCTAATGTGCAGCCAAGGTTGACAACCACTGCTTTTGGGAGAATTACCAGCCTTGAACAAGGAGCACTGAGAAAACCATCAGTCTCCTAGTTACTGAATGGCAGTATTTGCTGCTCTTCGGTAAACGCAGGCCCTGTAATTATCACCACACTCAGGCTGCTGAAATCCTCCCCACGCCCTGTGACACAGGCCCCGCTGGGCTGGCCACCTGGTTTCTGCCCTTAATACCTGATTTCCAGGCTCACGCCCCTCTGCCTGGTGGACCTCCCCAGGCTCAGGCATGCTCCCCTCAGCTGCCCTCTCCCCCCTCTTACCCCCAGGTCTCCTCGTCATCTCCTCATTGTCCGCATGTCTTAGCCAACACAGGACCCGTCCAACTTCTAGTCCAGGGTCCCCTCCCTTCCCACCACCAGCACTCACTGCCTCCCTGAGGTTCGGGCATCTGCACCCCCCATCACAGCCACCCCTCCTCACTCTCTACACGCCCAACAGGGATCTTTCCTGGACACTAACCTCACCCTCATGTGCTAGGAGCTCTTGTGCCCCCGCCCATGTGGCATGTGAGGCCCTCCACACACAGCTCTGGCCCTCTGCCCCAAGTCAGCCCACACCTGGAACATTCCATGCCCTTTCACACCCACCAGAACCACTGGGTTCCAGGTGCTGCCCAGTCTTCAGCCATGGCTCCTGTGCTCCCAGTCCCTGCACTGGGCAGAGTGCCCACCCCGTGGGGGAGCCGAGGTGGGTGAGCACGGGACAGATAACATGGGACAGCTCCAGGCTGGCCCTCGGGCAGGGAGGCTCGGGTGGGACAGAGTGTCCCAAGCCCTCCATGAGGGCCAAGGTGCTTCTAAGAGTCCTCTTGACCGCCCAGGAGGCCAACACAGTGGGCATCAATATTAAGCGCCACGTGTCAACTCATTACAGGCCCCAAGCTCCAGCCCCCTGACAAGGCAGCCACTGGTCACCACTTTGTGCGGGCTGAGCAGCTGGCACTGAGGGCTGGGACAGTCTGGCGGTGGAGGCACGGGGGGTGCAAAGCAAGGAGCCCCGGGAAGAAGGGCAGGCGACGCTGAGTTCCCTGACCAGCACCGTCCAGCTGGGAGAGCCAGCACGGCCGCCAGGCTGCTTCCCTCCTGCCTCCTCTGCCCTGTGCCCTTTGGATCAGACCATCTGGTCCATGAGCTCCCCACCTGCTGCCCTGGCACAGGCTGCCAGAACCCTTTCCGGGTCTCCGTCCTGCCCCAGGCCTCCTGCAGGCCTCTGAGCTCCCTGACCCCCGGCGGCCAGTAGGAGCCACCTGTGGCCCCCAGGGCCCCCCTTGGCAGGGCTTCGCTGGAGCACTTGGCTCTTCAGAGGCTGAGGCCCACCGGCCGGGCAGCCCGTGCATCCCGACCGGGCGGCGGCACAGCTCACCTCCAGGAGGAGCGTGTCTGGCAGGTACCGGTCCTTCCAGTGGTCCAGGAAGACCATGTCCAGCGTGTCCACGTCATATTTCTTCTTCAGCTGGGGGATGACGTCCTGGGATGCCCCCACGATCACGGTTACCTGCAACAGCGCTCCATCAGCGCCTGTGCCCACGGGGGTCAAAGAGCCCGCCCCACCTGGACTCCCAGGCAAGCCCACCGACAGTTTCTCTGCGGTTCTGGGGACACAAGTCTCCACTCTGCCCCTCCCGCTGCGGAGGTTTCCTGCTCTGAGGAATGGGCAGTAAGACGCCCTCACGGAGCTGCTGGAGACCCGTGAAACCTGGCCCAGGAGGCCCTGAGGCCTGGCTGCAGCGGGATAAATGTGGTCTGGAACCATGCGGGGCAGGCCCCAGGCTTCCCCCTCCCATCCACCCACACCTGGCCCGTCAGTGTCCACATCTGTCACCGGGGGAGGTGTCGCACCCTGTCCTGCAGGCCGGCGAAGTCCAGCATCTGCTGGGTGATGGCAGCGTAGTCAGGATTGAGCTCGATGGTGAGCAGGCGGGCGCCGGGTGCCAGCAGGCGGCCCATCCGAACGGCCGAGTAGCCACAGTAAGCCCCCAGCTCCAGCAACACGGAGGGGCGCTGCTCCCGCACCACTGCGTCCACGATCTGGCCTTCAGGGGTGGACAGGTTCCTTCTGACTAAGCGACAGCCTCTCCCAATGCCTGGCCCCAGCCCTCCCCTAAGGCCCCATCCCACTGTAGAGACCCCCCAAGCTCCCATGGAACCTTAGGCTCTGCCTTTCCACACACTGGCCCTTCTCTTTCCATGTTCCCTGGCTGACGGTACTGGCCCTAACCTAGAGCTGCCCTCTGTGGAAACCTCCCCCCACCTCCCCCGGGGGCCTCGCTCAGGGCCTTCCTAGCTCCCTGGAGCCAGACAGTAGCTGTCATGTTTGTCCTCAGGGCTAGACTTCAGGGCGTGCAACACAGCACACTCCTGTGCCCCACGCTGGAGTCAAAGGTCAGGAGGCAGCCAGTGCCTGGGCTGGGCAGAGTCCAAGGAGCTCTGTGCACCCTCATGCCTGGCAGGGACACCCAGGAACCCACTGCCCACCCTGCACCAGCCGGGCTCTGAGGGATGGCGGGTGAGTACAAGGCCTGCATGGAGCCACTGCTGTCCCCTCTAATACTGGCTGTTGGTCTGTGGCAAGGAGGGGACCCCACACAGTGGCCTCCTGAGTGGTTTATCAAATGTCCCTCCCTCCCCACGGGGACAGTGATGTGGGTGTTAGGGTCTGTGCACAGCCTTGACCCCTGGCTGGACAGACGGCTCGGGCCCCCAGGGCTCCAGATGAGCACCCACCCCAACACACAGAAATGGGGTGATAGTAGGCCCCTCCTGTATGGGCTGTGCTGCCTGGCCTGGGGTCCCCCTTCCTATATTCACTACCGGCTGGCCAGGCCACCCACCTTTCTTGTCGCCCACGTTCATGGCCCACTCCTTCTGTGAGCAGTAGGTGTCGATGGCCTCCAGCACGCTCTGTGGGTCCCCGGCCACTGCATGCTGCAGCACATGGCGCAGGATGCGCTGCTCCTTGCTGTCACCCATGAGCAGGCTGTAGATGGGCTGCAAGACGAACTCGTTCCAGCAGATGAAAAGCAAGCCACTGCGTCGCAGGAAGAACAGCAGCCCCAGCAGTGACAGGCACAATAAGAAGGCCACCAACAGCAGGGGTGGAGTCTCCAGCATCTGACACAGGGCAGGGGTGGGTGGGGGAGGAGGAGAAAGAAGGAGGAGGGAGTCAAGGGGAGGTGGCCGGCTTCAGTGCTTTGTGGCTGGCCAGGCAGTCCTGAAGCCAGCTGGGGGCTCGAGTTCCCCCAAGTTAGTGCAGACCCGCCCTCCTGGCTCTCCCACTTTCTCCTCACTTTGTTGGTGCTACTGTTGTAGGCAGTTAGACATGAGCAGAGCGAGGGACAATCGATTGTAGGGTGGGACCTCGCCCCCAGGGTGTCCTTTTCTCCCCTAGCAGACCCTGGTCATGAGGTTTGGACCCCCTGACCTTTCCTCCCTAGAGCTAGCATCTAGGCCTCGGTTGTATTTCAGCTCCAGGCCCAGAGAAGCAACGGAACCAGCCATGGCTGACCTCAGGACCAGCTGCAGGGAATAATGACCCCCTGCCCTGGTGCCGGACACCCTGGAAAGCTACTGAATATTCTATTAAGATTGTGGTTCTCAACCTTGGCTGCACATTAGAATCACCTGGGAATCTTTTTAAAATCCTGATTTCTGGGCCTCATCCTCTGGAAATTCTGTTTCTTTGTTATGGGGTGGGGCCACAACATTAGTAACAAAGAAACAGAATTTCCGGAGGACGAGGCCCAGAGATCAGGATTTTAAAAAGATTCCCAGGTGATTCTAATGTGCAGCCAAGGTTGAGAACCACTGTATTAAGATCTTCTCCTGGGATCTCCCCTAAAATTGCAGCCCTTAAAACCCTTAGGATGGAGGACACAGTGAGCTCTCCCTCCTGGGAGTAACCCTGTTCCCTCCTCCTCCCACCTCCCTGCCCCAGGCACTTTCCCATTAGCTCCTCATTCCCAAGCTCCAAGGGCCCTTCCTTTATCTCCATAACTCGCTCCCTAAGCCCATTTCTTCTAGGAATGACTTCTACCCCTGTGATTTGCCAAACAAATGTTCTCTTACACTTGGGGTCTTGCTCTGAATTCTTTCCTAGCCAGAACCCAAGTACTGAGGTTGCTGAACCCAGGTTTGGTCTGACCCCACCGGTCTATTGGTCTAACACCGGCTGCTGTTCCTGCCTTCCCACTGCCCGCCTACAACATTACCATTGTCCCCCTTGTGCTGGTGGGGGCCCAAGGTTCAAGAGGTCAACCAAGTGCCCCAGTGCCAGGGGAGCATAGGCCCAATCCCCCTGCAAAGTGCTTCCGGCTAAGGCCGAATCCTCAGGCAGACTGCCCAGGTGTGTGTCTGACAGTCCTGCCTGAGGGCCTACTGGTCACAGTCCTCCTCTCTGGGCACTTTCCCAGACAGCCTGGGACCAGCCACTGCCCTAAGGGGGGCACAGCTGGCACAGAGGAGGTCCTGTTCTATGTTCAGCCCACCTGGGTGCCCACTCAGAATAGTCTGGGATCTCATGTAGTTCTTTGAGTTTCCCAATAAGGACAGAGGCGGTCCTCAGGCCAGGCACAGGGGGCGAGTCTTTCTCCTTTTTTTTCCTTTTGAAGATTTTTTTATTAAGAGAAAGGGAAAGAGAGAGAGAGAAACATCGATGTGAGAGCGAAACATCAATAGGCTGCCTCCTGCAGGTCTCCTGCCGGGGGACTGAGCCAGCAACCCAGGCATGTGGCCTGACCAGGAATCGAACTGGCAATCTTTTGGTGCACGGGACGCCCAACCAACTGAGCCACACAGGCTAGGGCTCAAGGCTATCTCTGGACAAGGAAGGCCAGCCCTGCCACCTGCACCCCAGTGTAAGCGAGATGTGCCAGCTGTATCTGCTGCTACAAGTGCCTGATGGCCTGCCCTGGCTTGCCACCCCTCAGGCAAGTAGGTCAGGAGCCAGGCACACAGAGCTGGGCCAGGGCCCCTGGAGACAGGGCAAGGCTGGGTTAGCCCCGAGATTTCAAAGTGTTCAGGGTGCGTGCTCGGATTTCAGGCTGGAGACCTTACAATGTTAAAGGACGAAAGAAAGAGGATTATGGGAAGCTTCCACCGGGGGGTGGTCACTCACAGGAAAGGCCCTTGGAATCCTGGCTCCCACTTGGAAAGGCACACCCCGGCGAGCAGGCAGGCTGAGGGTCTGGGAGGGGAGACCCCCCTCAAGAACAGCTGACGGCTCCAAACCCCAGCGCCCTGGACCACGAGGAAGCGGGGGCTGCGGGACGGCGGAGAATGAACATGACAGCTGAGACTCCGCCCGGGGCAGCGCGGACACCAGGTCTCTAGGTTCTCTCAGGCCACGTGGCCTATTTACACAAGGCTGAGCGGACACGTGCTCAGCAGGTCCAAGTCTGCGCAACCAATGGGCCCGAATCCTCGCTCCACACCCCTGCTCCCAGCACCACCCCGACCTTCAGGGCAGATTTCCCAGCACAACCCGCACTGGGGATCGACATGCAACCTGGGCACGTGCCCTTGACTGGAATCGAACCCGGGACCCTTCAGTCCGCAGGCTGATGCTCTATCCACTGAGCCCAACCGGCCAGGGCTGGGGAGTTCTTTTGCCTTGAGATAATCACCAATGGAAACTGTAACTTGAAAATGGCCAGGGTCCAGCTATCTGGGCCCACCCTGGAAGCCAGTCTGGCTCTCTACCTTCCCTCCTTGGGGGAAAGAGCACGGAAGGCCTCAGAGTGGCAGAGACAGCCCAGGAGAGAAGGGACAGTCCCTCTGGTCCTCGCTGGCCCGCCGGGTTATGAGGGCACGTGCACCCGTGCCTTATGAAAAGCAGGAGAAATGAATGAACCACTCTGCTCAAGGCCTATTTCCCAGGAGAGCGATTTTCAATTTAGAAGTGACATATAAGACCAAGGGCTAGTTACAAAGAGCACCTACCAATCAGGGAGAAAAAGATGAGCTAAGGCAGCAAATACGAAGCTCACAGAAGGAGGCCAGGAGCCCCGAGCGGACACGGGAACAGGAGCAGGTCTTGGCAGCAGATTGGGGTGACCCTGGGCCTCACAGCTTGACAGATGTGAATCAGGCTGGTTTCTGTGGAAGTTCCCGGGCCCCCATGGGACAGGACACACCGTGAGGTGAGGGGATCGCATAGGGAGAGGGCGTGGTGGGTAAGGACAGTGTCTCCCTTCTCGGGCTCAGAGGACAGGAAACAGTGGCGGGGGCCTGCGCCACCTGAATGCCCAGGACTGTTCACCGAGCTCCTGTCTGCATGCTTAGTACTTCCCCGCCACACCTGTGCTGCTTTATTTATTGTTACTGTTATGACTAGTGTGTTTGGGTGGTGAGATACTGGGCCATTTTGTTTTATTCTCTGTATTTAAAAAAAACCTAGTAAATGTTAGAAATAAATATCTGAATTAAGAAGGAATATTCTGCTTAAATAGTGATCACTTGGCAAACTCTGGGATCATAAACTGTACATTTCAATCCCCTTAATACTCGAATTGTGTAAGAATCTGGCTTTTAAATCCCTATCTCCAGGTCTGTCTGTCCATAACTCCGCAGAAGGGTGCAGAGAGGGGCCCCACCTGTGGGGTGGCCCGTAGCCCCTCCCCTTTCCTGTAAGGAGCGGGTGGCATGCCCAACAGGCAGGGCAGCTCTAAACAGGGCAGAAGTGGCCCCGCTGTGCAGGGGCTGTCATGCTTCCTCATCGCCCGTCATGCCCACCTCCCACTGGCCAGGGGCATGGGGCTCAGGGAGACACTTGAGGTACTATCCCCCTACCCCATGCAGCGCCTAGGGGAATGGGCTTCATGCCCACCTCATCTGGTCCTCCAGCAACCCTAAAGGGACTCGTTGCCCCCGGCCACCGGCTGAGCACTGGTGACTGGCCACACTGCCTCCCAATGGGCACCTCCCCTTCTAAACCCCAGTAGCTTTCCCTGATTGCAGGGCCACCCTGTTTCTAAACCTTACTGCTCTGCGTTGCCCAGCAGCGCTGGACGAGGCCACACCCACCCAGCCCTGGGAGAGAACAGTCCAGGTCCGCCTAGAGCTTTGCAGAACAAAAGGGCGGAAGTGTGAAACAGAGTCATGCCATCTATAATAATAAAAGTGTAATATGCTAATTAGACCGGACTTCCTTCTGGATGAAGCCTGGACTTCGAGGGAAGCCGGGGTCCCAGGTGCCAGAGGGAAGCCGGTGCCAGCAGCCAGGGGCAAGGAGGCCTACTCTTGCACGAATTTCATGCATCGAGCCTCTAGTTAAAAATAAAATCTCACAGACACCATAGGGGAAGCCATCCAGAGCTCGCAGATGTTCTGACCTGGGATTTTGCCCTGTGAGTCCTTTGTGGGGAAATTAAACATGGGAGCTCCTCTTGTTTTGGGTCCTGGGACCTGAGTGCCTGCTGCTCTGCCTTTGGAAAGAGCTGAGGGTGAGGGCAGTCTGCTCCCGGGAGACAGCCTCAGCATTATTCACAATAGCCAAAGCACAGAAACAACCCAAGTGTCCGTCAATCGATGAGTGAGTGGAAAATAAAATGTGGTCTACCCAAACAATGGAATATTATTTAGTTACTAAAATGAATGAAATACTGACAGACGCTACTCCATAGATGAGCCGTGATGACATTATGTGCCCAGCCAGAGTGGCACAGTTGGTTGGAGTGTTGTCCCGTACACCACACAAGGTTTTGGCTTCAGTCCTGGGTCAGAGCACATACAGAAGGGAACCAATCTCTCTCTCTCTCTCTCCCTCCCTCTCTCTCTCTCTCTCTCTTCCTCCCTCCCTCCTTCCCTCCCCCCCTCTCTCAGCATAAACTCAGGTGAGGATTAAACAAAAAAAAAAGACGTTATGCTAAGTGAAATAAGCCAGACACAAAAGGACAAATATTGTCTGATTCCACTTATATGAAAAAGAATAGGCAAATCCATAGAGACAGAAAATAGAATAGCGGTTGCCAGGGGCTGGAGGGAGGTGGAATTACTGCTGAATGGGTAGAGTTTCTTTTTGTTTTTTTGTTGTTGTTAATCCTCACCCAAGGATATTTTTCCATTGATTTTTTTTAGAGAGAGTGGGAGGGGAAGAGACACAGAGAGAGAAAGAATCAATGTGAAAAAGACACACTGATTGGTTGCCTCCCACATGAACCCCAACCAGGGTTGGGGATCGAGTCTGCAACCGAAGGATGTGCCTTTTGACTGGAATCGAACCTGGGACCCTTCAGTCCACAGGCCGACGCTCTATCCACTGAGGCAAACCCGCTAGGGCCAGAGTTTCTTTTTGGAATGGTGAGAAAGTTCTGGAAATAGTGGCAATAGTTATACAACAATGCCACTGAGTTATACACTTAGAAATGCTAAAATGGTAAGTCTTAGGTTACGTATATTTTACTGCAGTAAAAAGAAAACAGTGGAAAACCAGTAACGCAAGCAGTCCTGCCTCTGGCACTCTCTGTCCCCAAAAGGGAAGGGACATGCCATTCTCTTAGGAAGCAGGATCTAGAAGAGCAGCCAAGCTCCCCTCTCCCTGGGGGACCCAGACACTCAGGAATGCCTCTCTGCCGCCCGCTGCCTGCCCACGATCCAGACTCCCGCAGGCCTGCATGCACCTAGCGGGGCACCTGCCTCCAGGGTGCACGCTCCTCTCCCCTCTTGGAGGCAGCAGAAGGGGTCTTCCGGTCCCAGCAGAATCTGCCCCCCACCCCCCCGCCCCACATGCTTCCTTTCAATGTGCCCAGTGTGTGCATCCAGCGTACATGTCAGACAACACAGACATGGTGAGGGGCAGGCCAGGCCCTTTCCCAAAACCACAATAGCACGCACCCCCCAATAAACTTTCTTTATATAAACCCATTCTTTTCTTCTTCTCCTCCTCCTCTTCCTCCTCCACCTCCTCCTCCTCCTTCTTCTTCTTCCCTCTTCCTCTTCCTCTTCTTCTTTTTTAAATAAACCCATTCTTATATATTCTCCCTGCAACATCTCAGAGGCAGGGAGCAGGCAGATGGGTCACTGACACCCAGAGCCATCAACCCCTGGACCTTTAACTCCGTAATCCTTTGTGACAAAAGTGTTTTGCCACATCCAGCTTGATGCTGTTAAACTTCACCAATGTCCAGCCCCCCTGCCCCCCAACATCTGCATGTGGGGCGCTCCATTCACCCTACAGGCATGCCCCTCTTGGCCCACGGGCTCCTGAGGGTGGGGTTGGGGGTACTTTGTGCTTGGTAGCCAGACAGTTTATCACTTTGTCAGCTGGTCAGTATATTCATTTTCACATTTAGCACATCCTAGATGACACTCATCTTTCCTTCAAGGAAATGGAAACATTTTTCATAAATATATTGCACGTAAGCACCAGTGGATGTTACTGAGACTCTTAAAAATTCTTTAAAAGGATGAACTGCCCAGCCAGCATGGCTCAGTGGTTGAGCGTCGACCTACGCACCAGTAGGTCACGGTTCAACTCCTGGTCAGGGCATCTGCCAGGTTGCGGGCTCAATCCCCAGTTTGGGGCATGTAGGAGGCAGCCAACCAATGATTCTCTCTTATCATCGATGTTTCTCTCTCTCTCCCTTTCCCTTCCTCTCTGAAATAATAATAATAATAAAAGATGAACTAACTATATGACCCGGTTCCTAGGCTCATTTAAAAAACCCATAAAAGATCACTAGAAATGCCTTCGGCCCCTTTGCAAAGATCCCGCATTGCCGACACCTCCTCAGTCTCTGCCTCGCACTCGTTCTGGACGCCTGTGGGAGGGGCAGGATGTCACTTATTCCTTTGGCTGCAGGAGACAGAAGAAAGGTCCGACCTCAGAATATAAGGGACAATCTGGGGGCAAAAGCGGGTGGGCTGGCCAGGATCCTGTGGTGGGGACAGGATATGCCTGCCAGGGAGGGATGGTTGGCCATCCGCCCCGCAGGCCAGCCTGTATGTCAGAGCCCAAGAGCCTGCCCTGCTGGGGAACTGGGAGCAAGCTTTCTGGCAACTCTTGGGCACCGTGAGCAAAACCCCAGCAGGTGTCTGGTTGAGCCCTGTCCCCTTATGGAAACTGAATGTAACTCCTTCTTTCACGCCTCCTGCTGGAGGGCGGCACCCACAGAGATGTCCTATCTCCTCTGCTGTTCATTTTGGCACCTTGTGGTGATTTCGACTCCTGACCCCGTGCTCCCGACAAATGTTGGTTAAAGTGTGTGGTGAGGACAGGTTTTGGTTCTGATTCCGAGTATACGCTCCGAAGCTGGTGAGAAGCCAGATTTCCTCTGGAAGGTTCCTCGGGGCTGGAGGAAATCCCTCCTGGCTCCTGGGGAGGCCTC